GTCTGATGTCTTTATCTTTAAGGATGCCCTCGCTTTCCACCATGGACGTTACCGTCTCCGGCACGGTATTGTAGAGAAGCTGATGATAGAGCGCAGTTTTCCCCGCGCCGCACGGTCCAAGCAAGACCACATGCGAAGGCCTCGCTAAGGATACGAACGAATTAAATACCCCCCGTGCTCAGAAATGATACACCCACGATTTCAAGCAAACAGGATAGGGTGCGGCTCAGGCGCATGACTCACCTCTTCCCTGTTTCCCCCCCGGCAGGGGCTTGTGCCCTCGAGCGCGGCCGATCCCCACGAAGTATAAGCTCAAACCCAAGACCAACAGGAGAAGGAGACAGGTTATTATAATGCCACTGTGGGGAAGTCCTAGTTGTAAACGCGCCAAGAAAAGTGAAGCGTAAAGATGGCACTTTGAGAGCCCCTGTCTGCTTAACAGCTATCTACGTTTCCAATCACTGCTCCATTTCTCACCAAGTGCTGTCGAACCCCAGGCATCCACGGCATGAAACTTTTTCTGGGCCTGTGGAGGGAGATGTTCCACCACTTTTTCTTCGACCCGCGCCAATACTCCCAAAAAAGTTGTGATCAGTGGTGTTAGCATGGAGGAGGTGGAGGAGGGAGAGGCAGTCGCAGGGGGGGGAAAGACATTTTCTTCCAAAAGTTCTTCGACAGCAGATGTGACAGGGTCAGACATATGTCATTCCTGTATTTAGATGTGGAAAGCGGAAAGAATGAAGTGCGCGGGTTCGATACGCTTATGAGGCAAAGAGGACTAAGAGCATTCAGGAGAGGCGACGTTTGCCGTTGATTTCAGTTCCTCCCCTTACGCCCCAATTTCACACAGGGCAGGCGCCGTAATGGACGCAGTATCATAAAGTTTCTCCACTTCTGAGCGCACAACTTTCATTGTTCTCCGCAAGAAGGGCTTATCCAGAAGGCCTCGCGGCCCGACGTATGTGATGCTGTCCAGTCTCATTTATATTACCTTTTCAGTCGACCTCCTGCTCCTGCTCAATGACTTATTACTACCTCGCTTATTTTACCTTTTTTTCTTCGCTCCAAAAAATGTTGCTCAGGTACTCCATTTCCAAGATATCCGTAGATATGTGTGCATGGACCCGCCCGGGATGGAAACGTCCTAATACCAGTTCTGCAGTCTCTTCATTATCCCTCTGTAAGTCGTTCAACGAAGCGGACGTGAGCTCTGGCCTCACCAGCTTTGCCTCTGAGGCCCCAGGAGAAATACAAGGCGAACATGGGCGAAATGTATATTGATTTTGTGAGAGAACTCAAAGAGCATTCATGTAATTCCCTTTCCAACTGAACACAGCGGAGCTAATGAGTGAGCAGTTGGCAGAACGTCTGGAGCGGGGGACCCGCAGGACAGCGACAGGCGCGCACACAACAGGAGACAAGCACGATGCTGAAGACAAAGATCTGGCACTAGCTATCTCCCTCTCCCTTGGCTCGTCCGCAGACACGGTAGGGGCGGGGGAGGCGGCGGGGACACGAGAAGAGGGGAGAGCGGAGGAAGGGGGTAGGGACGTGCCGGACCCGAACCTCGAGGGAGAAGACACAAGGCTGCATCTCGACACAAAAGACTTGCCCGAAGCTGCAGGTGTGGAGGACGCGGACGCCCAGGCCGACGCCGGTAAGTCCTCCATGTACTCCCCCCCTGGCAGCGGGCTGAAAATGGCTGTGGAGCAACCTTTCTCACGTTCTTGCGCCCTCCCGCCATCCCCCCCATCCTTTGTCCAGACTTTGCGCTGGCCCTCCAGCTCCAAGCGGACGAGGAATGTGCTTTGCGTGCAGCCCGTCATGCCGCCGCCGCGCGCGATCAACGCCAACACGGACCTCTGAGCAAAGTCTCTGTCGCCTACAGGCTGGAGGGAGGGAGGGAGGGAGGGCAGGCGGGAGGACGTGGTCGAGAAGAGCGAATTCTCCTGTCCGCGGAGGACGCCAGCAGCGAGCCAATGCCCTCGTACTCTACAAGAGAAAAGTCCGGAGACAAAGGGGACGCGCTCAATCGACTTAAGGTGGCGGGGTCGAGGGGCGGGCGGCGGCGGCGGCAGAAGCAGGGAGAGCTGTGGACAACGTGGGAAGGGGAGGTGGTTTCGAAGCACGACGCGGCGATCAATGGGCGTCTAAATGCGCTGGAGCTGATGTCCCGCTACTCAGGCGTCGGAGACGTCGAAGCGGAGGTAAGGAGGGAGGGAGGGAGGGAGGGAAGGAGTTAGGGAGGGCGGGGGAGAGGTGGAGGGAGAGACGGCGGGCCCTCGCGATTTCCTCGCGCTGATTGCCGCTGATATGCATGAGACTGACCGCATCATTTTCCCTCGGCCAGTCGGGCTTCTCCATCCCGAATCGAGCGTCGAATCAGTTGCGTCAACGCTTCAACAAAGACGAGGTGGCCAAGAATTCGAGCGGGGCGGCCGCAGGCGCCATGGAGGGGCGGACGCGGCAGACGCAGGAAGGGGTCTTGGACGCCAGGACACGGCTTCTCCTCCTTCGGATATTGAACAAAGGTAGCTTGTTTAGGGAGGTGGGCGGAGTGGTGAAGACCGGGAAAGAGAGCAATGTCTATTATGCGCCAGGGGTGGGGCCGAGAGGGAGGGAGGAGGACGGGGAGGGATGGAGGGAAGATGGAAGTGGGGAAAGGGAGAGGAAGGTGGAGGGACGGGTGGAAGAGGACAAGGTGTTGGTTGAAAGGGAAGGGGGAGGAAGGGGGGGGAGGAAGGCCAAAGGTCTGTTGCGGGGTCGGCATTGTCGGGAAGGAAAATGGAGAGCATGGAAGGGATCGCAGGATGTGATTGTGCCATCAAGATCTTCAAGACCACCCTGAACGAATTTTCAAATCGGGCTGCGTACATTGACGGCGATCCTCGCTTTGGGAAGTTGCGTTTCAACAAGGTTAGAAGAAAGGGGAGGAGGATGGGAGTTCAAGCAGAAGAAAGAGACATAAGGACGCATAATTCATGCCTCGCGACCTCCATATGTTAATGTCACGTATCCCCCTCCGCATTCCTTCCCCCTCTTGTCCCCTGACAGAAATCTACCCGGGCCAAGTTCCAACTATGGGCGGAGAAAGAGGCACGAAACCTGCTTCGGATGAGGAAAGCAGGGATTCCGTGCCCGGTCCCGCTCCTCCAAAAGGAGCACGTCTTGGTCATGTCCTTCTTGGGGGAGGACGGCTGGCCGTCGCCACAGCTCAGGGAGGTGAGGTTGTCTCCCTCTGCTGCCTCCAAAGGGAGAGGACGGGAAGGGGGGGAGGGCGGGGGAGCGCGACAGTGGTGGGAGAAATGTTACCGAAGTGTGCTGATGCTGGTCCGAGACCTGTACCAGAAAGCGGGCTTGGTGCATGGCGATTTGTCCGAGTACAACATCTTGTGGCATGCGAATCAGGTGCACCTGATTGACGTGGGGCAGGCCGTTCACAAAGGCCATGCTTGGGCGGATACGTTGTTGGCGCGGGATCTGAGACACGTGCATTCCTTTTTTAAAAGCAAGGGTGTGAAGGTTTTAGAGGAAGATGGACGAGAGGGGAAGGAGGGAAATGGCGTCAGGTTCGTGAAGATGGTGTACGTGGAGCCGGGCGTCAAGCCAAGAAGAATGGAGGGGAAAAGAGAGTGGAGGGAAGCCGAAGGTGGTTGGGGGAACGTTTCGGATGAGGAGATGGACATCGGAAAGGAATCGGAGGCCGCCGTAGAGATTCTCGAGCGACTGATCGACGGGAGTGAAACTTGGGAAGAGATTCTGAAGAGCGTGCGTGAGGTTTTCAGCGGTGCGGCGCAGCGGGAGGAAGAAGCAGAGGAAGATGAGCTTGAGCTTGATATCAATGAGGAGGAAGAAGGAGAATTAAATGGAAGAGAAGAGGGCGATGTGGAAGAAGAGGAGTGAGAAAAAGAAGAAAGAAATTATGTAAAGAGGGGATAATAAAAGAGGGATCACTGAACAATAAAAAAAGACAAGCGCATTTTGTTCATAATTCTTCCACGTACGCCTTCATTGGGTGGTACAATGGAAAAACTACACACCAAACATGGGAAAAGTGAATTAATTCATAACCCATACGACGCGATAACAAGATTTGTATAGCATGAAGTGGTCTTAACAAATCACACCACAACCTCCATAACTCCTACCAATGTGCTCATGAACGGCCCTTTAAATGGTTACGAAGCAGGCATAATTCATCTTGGCTATCCACGACGTTGTCTCAAAGTGTTGAACAGAGCTCGACCGGTCCATCTTGCTGTATTGGCTTTCAGAAAATCCGGCTCCCACACGTCATTTTTCCAGGGGTCTATAGCGCTAATTCGCTGTGGCCAAGGCCAAGACTGAGGGCAAACAGATAGCCACGCACGATCCATGTCAGAAAGAGAGGTTAGCACAAGGTCAAAGAAAGAGGCTTTAAAAAAGGATCGTTACAGTAGTCATGTGCATGCACGCATACCCGGAGGTGTCCCTCTGCGCAACGTGTTGGAAAGTTTACTATACCCCTCCTTTTCACCGTGGAATCATTTGCATTTCAGCTATAAATACATTTTTTTGTAAAAGAGGGAAAAAATCTTGGGACCCTTTTTACCTCGACATGTTTGGGGTGCTGTGACGACAGATTGAGCTCCCTTGCCTTCCTATTAATCATGAAAGCCTGGGAGCATTACCGCGTTTTACGAAGTAGCTATGTATTCTTTCCACATTTTTTTCTGGCGCTGCCAGAATTGTTTGACCTTCCTCACCTTCCTATAAGCTATGAAAGGGAGGAAACAGTACCGTGTTCTACGCAATAGCCTCCCTGAGTATCGTATCTCGACACGGGTGTCTAGTAGGACGATCAATCTCATGCGCGCTCATAAATTAAAACACACTCATGCGCATAATTTCAAGCACATATATAAGGAACTTGCTGAAGGCCACCTCTAACATGGATGAAGCCCGCAGGAAACGGGCCGCGGCTTTGGAAGAGAAAAAAAGAAAGTTGGAAGAAATGCGGCGGAAGCGGGCGGTGCGTGAGAATGAAGGGGAGGGCCTAGGAGAGGAACGTGGCTCAGCTGCAGCAGGAGACAGAGCTTTAACACGAGGGATAAAGAAGGAAAACGCTGAAAAAGGCGGCAACAGAAGGGACGACCAAGAACAATTGGATGCATTGATTGACTCGCTCTTGAATGTACCGGCGCCTTCAACCGAGAACGAGGGAGAGGATAAAATTGGGAAAAGAGAAATCCACGCCAGCGATAATTCCAATACCCAAAAAACAAGTGAAGCAGCGGCGCATGAGGCATCGCGCAAGGTAGGTCTGCGGGATGGTAACGCAGGTGTCGTTTAGTGGGCTGCCTGTCGGACTCGCCTCTGCCAGCTTCCTATGTTAATCGAAGTTTGGACGCATGTCATTCCCTTGACACAATTTCAAAGCTTAAAGATGGTGTTGTGGCGCAGGACCCAAACACAGTTTCAATATCTATTGCCCGCGGACTTGGTAAGGAAGAGACAGACGTGGAAGGAAAACGGCGAGCCTGGGGACCGGCCTGGCACCGCCCCCTGGCTGCCCTCTCACCTTACCTCTCTCGTTCATGCGTACAGGGAAAGTCGTGCTAATACCTGCACCGGCACCAGAGTGCTACCATAAAGGCAGCCAAACTGAGCCCCTATTCGACGAAGGAGGAGACGAAGACGAAGGGGAATCACCGGGAAAGGGCCAACACCACACAATCGAGGCAGATAGGTTTGGAGAGGCGGAAGGGAGGGTGGAAGACGCAGAGGAAAAGGGTACTGAGGGAGGGCGGGCAGGTCAAGAGGGAGCGTCATCGCCATATGCGGACATCGGGGGCGTTTCGGCGGCAGCTCCCTTGTCAGAGGCCGACAGAGTGAGTGGGACGAAGACAGGGGGGCGGGGGGGTGAAGGTAGGCTGGAAAGAGAAGCGTGAAGAGTTTTGGAGGTTTTCTGTCTCGCAGTATCCGCTCTCTGTGCTTCTTGATGAGCGTGGACAGCTGTCAGCCAGGGCAAGGCCTGAGGATGCTTGCATCTCACAGCCCTTTCCTCGTCGTTTTCGACCACGGTTCCACAGATCGAAGCGCTTTCCAAGCCTGAATTGGCGACCTTCCTCTCCCGAGCCTCTTTGGTGGTGGAGCGTG